ATTCTGCTTCCCCTGTAACGTGGAAGAGATTGCGGAATGTTCGGCGTCTTGTTTTCCTTCCAGCTTTAATAAAGAATGAACAGCCGGGTTCGGGTCAGGTACTCATTGCGGTGTCATTCCTCACATCTAACAAGGGACTCGTTGGCTGCTGCCGAGCTCCACTTCTTCATTGTGCTACATGAGGAGGAATTGTGTCCCGGCCCCTTATGGCTCCCCGTCCCATAATTATCGTTACACTAAGGCCCGCAATTCATTTAAACCGCCGGCTATCGGCGGCACAGCTCGGCCCGAGGGGAAGGAGGCGAGTCCGTATATCCAGATCAACTCTCTGTAAATGGCAACTCCAGTCCCGGCATGGACCGGCGCCAAGGAACTACATTTCCTGAACTTGAGCTAATGAGAACCTGACTCCGGGGATGGAGTGCTTGGGCATGCCGCACTTCACCGGCTCCTGTGTATGTGCAGAGTCCAGCCAACCACCTCTGGAGGAGTGTGACTGATTTCTGTGTCCCCCATCCACAGCACTGATAACGCTAACCCTTACCCTATCCCCAATATTAACCCTTACCCTATCCCTAATATTAACCCTTCCCCTATCCCTAATATCAACCCTTACCCTATCCTTAATATTAACCCTTACCCTATCCTTAATATTAACCCTTACCCTATCCTTAATATTAACCCTTACCCTATCCTTAATATTAACCCTTACCCTATCCTTAATATTAACCCTTACCCTATCCTTAATATTAACCCTTACCCTATCCTTAATATTAACCCTTACCCTATCCTTAATATTAACCCTTACCCTATCCTTAATATTAACCCTTACCCTATCCTTAATATTAACCCTTACCCTATCCTTAATATTAACCCTTACCCTATCCTTAATATTAACCCTTACCCTATCCTTAATATTAACCCTTACCCTATCCTTAATATTAACCCTTACCCTATCCTTAATATTAACCCTTACCCTATCCTTAATATTAACCCTTACCCTATCCTTAATATTAACCCTTACCCTATCCTTAATATTAACCCTTACCCTATCCTTAATATTAACCCTTACCCTATCCTTAATATTAACCCTTACCCTATCCTTAATATTAACCCTTACCCTATCCTTAATATTAACCCTTACCCTATCCTTAATATTAACCCTTACCCTATCCTTAATATTAACCCTTACCCTATCCTTAATATTAACCCTTACCCTATCCTTAATATTAACCCTTACCCTATCCTTAATATTAACCCTTACCCTATCCTTAATATTAACCCTTACCCTATCCTTAATATTAACCCTTACCCTATCCTTAATATTAACCCTTACCCTATCCTTAATATTAACCCTTACCCTATCCTTAATATTAACCCTTACCCTATCCTTAATATTAACCCTTACCCTATCCTTAATATTAACCCTTACCCTATCCTTAATATTAACCCTTACCCTATCCTTAATATTAACCCTTACCCTATCCTTAATATTAACCCTTACCCTATCCTTAATATTAACCCTTACCCTATCCTTAATATTAACCCTTACCCTATCCTTAATATTAACCCTTACCCTATCCTTAATATTAACCCTTACCCTATCCTTAATATTAACCCTTACCCTATCCTTAATATTAACCCTTACCCTATCCTTAATATTAACCCTTACCCTATCCTTAATATTAACCCTTACCCTATCCTTAATATTAACCCTTACCCTATCCTTAATATTAACCCTTACCCTATCCTTAATATTAACCCTTACCCTATCCTTAATATTAACCCTTACCCTATCCTTAATATTAACCCTTACCCTATCCTTAATATTAACCCTTACCCTATCCTTAATATTAACCCTTACCCTATCCTTAATATTAACCCTTACCCTATCCTTAATATTAACCCTTACCCTATCCTTAATATTAACCCTTACCCTATCCTTAATATTAACCCTTACCCTATCCTTAATATTAACCCTTACCCTATCCTTAATATTAACCCTTACCCTATCCTTAATATTAACCCTTACCCTATCCTTAATATTAACCCTTACCCTATCCTTAATATTAACCCTTACCCTATCCTTAATATTAACCCTTACCCTATCCTTAATATTAACCCTTACCCTATCCTTAATATTAACCCTTACCCTATCCTTAATATTAACCCTTACCCTATCCTTAATATTAACCCTTACCCTATCCTTAATATTAACCCTTACCCTATCCTTAATATTAACCCTTACCCTATCCTTAATATTAACCCTTACCCTATCCTTAATATTAACCCTTACCCTATCCTTAATATTAACCCTTACCCTATCCTTAATATTAACCCTTACCCTATCCTTAATATTAACCCTTACCCTATCCTTAATATTAACCCTTACCCTATCCTTAATATTAACCCTTACCCTATCCTTAATATTAACCCTTACCCTATCCTTAATATTAACCCTTACCCTATCCTTAATATTAACCCTTACCCTATCCTTAATATTAACCCTTACCCTATCCTTAATATTAACCCTTACCCTATCCTTAATATTAACCCTTACCCTATCCTTAATATTAACCCTTACCCTATCCTTAATATTAACCCTTACCCTATCCTTAATATTAACCCTTACCCTATCCTTAATATTAACCCTTACCCTATCCTTAATATTAACCCTTACCCTATCCTTAATATTAACCCTTACCCTATCCTTAATATTAACCCTTACCCTATCCTTAATATTAACCCTTACCCTATCCTTAATATTAACCCTTACCCTATCCTTAATATTAACCCTTACCCTATCCTTAATATTAACCCTTACCCTATCCTTAATATTAACCCTTACCCTATCCTTAATATTAACCCTTACCCTATCCTTAATATTAACCCTTACCCTATCCTTAATATTAACCCTTACCCTATCCTTAATATTAACCCTTACCCTATCCTTAATATTAACCCTTACCCTATCCTTAATATTAACCCTTACCCTATCCTTAATATTAACCCTTACCCTATCCTTAATATTAACCCTTACCCTATCCTTAATATTAACCCTTACCCTATCCTTAATATTAACCCTTACCCTATCCTTAATATTA